AGAGGGACATACAAAGCAACAAAGAAATATCTTATAAATATGTTAGAAGAAATACCAAGAAAGAAAAACCAGTTGAGTCCTTATCTTGGGGTTCATTTCACCTAAAATCATCTTATCTGAGCTTTTCTGCTTGTCTCAGACATATTCAAGTTATTGCAAATAAGAGAAACCATGGGACCTATGTTTCTTTTGGCCTGGCTTACTTCACTTAATAGAATTTTTTCCAAGTCTTTCCATTTCCTAACAAATGAGGCAATGTCATTCTTTCTGATGGAGGCATAGAATTCCATTGTGTATATATACATTTTCTTGATCCATTCATCTACTAAGGGGCATCTGGATTGGTTCTCTATCTTAACTATGGTAAATAATGCTGCAATAAACATAGTTGTGCTGGTAGCTTTAGTATGGTCTTGTTTGTGATCATTTGGGTAAATGCCCAAACATGGGATTGCTGGGTCTTAGGGGAGCTCTTTGTGGAGTCTTTTGAGGAACCTCCAAACTACTTTTCAACATGGTTGAACAAGTTTACCCTTCCACCAACAATGCAGTAAGATTCCTTTCTGTCCACATCCCCTCCAGCATCTGTTGTTATTAGAGTTCTATTTTTGTTTTATTTTATTTGTTTCCCCTTCCTATCCCTTCCCATATTCCCCTCTTCCTCCCCCCCCCCCCGATCCTCCCCTCCCCTTCACCAAAGTTGTAAAGTTCGTTTTTCGACATAACGACTTGTACATCTCATTGTTGCAATGGGTCAATTATAGCCATTCTAACTGGGGTGAGGTGGTATCTCAGTGTTGTTTTGATTTGCATTTCTTTTATGGCTAGGGATGTTGAACATTTCTTCATGTGTCTATTGTCCATCCTTCTTTCCTCTTCAGAGAAGTTTCTCTTTAAGTCTTTAGCCCACTTATTTATTGGGCAGTTGTTTCTTTGAGGATTTGTTGTTGGGATGTTTAATTTTTTGAGTTCCAGGTATATTTTAGATATGAGACCCTTGTCCATTGTATGGCTAGTAAACATCTTCTCCCAATCTGGGGGCTTTCTATTGATCTTGCTAGCTATGTCTTTTGTCATGCAGGAGCTATGCAATTTCATGCAATCCCATTTGTCCAGCCTTTCTTAACAGTGCTGAAGGAATATCAATACCAAATTTCAAACTCTACTACAAAGACATAGTAATCAAAACAGCTTGGTATTGGCACAAGAACAGACCTCAGGACCAATGGAATAGAATTGAAAACCCAGAAATGAACCCACAGACCTGTAGCCATCTACTATTCGATAAGGGAGCTACAAAAACATAGAATGGAAGAAAGACAGCCTCTTCAGCAAATGGTGCTGGCAAAATTGGTTAACTACATGTAGAAAACTAAAGCTAGATCCTTATATATCACCTTGCACCAGAATCAATTCCAAATGGATCAAAGACCTCAGAGTCAAAGCAGACATCCTGAAAACATTACAAGATGGAATAGGAGAAACCCTAGGTCTCATTGGCACAGGCCAAGGAGACCCAGAAACACAACAAAACAAAGAAAGGTTGTTTCTAAATTTTTGTATTCAAGGCTAGTGTGCTACCACTACCGCTCCACTTTTGGCTTCTTGTGGTTAATTGGAGATAACAGTTTTACGGTCTATCTTGCCTGGACTGGCTTTGAACCACAATCTTCAGATCTCAGCCTTCTGAGCAGCCAGGATTTTACAGGCATGACCTACCAGTACCACTTATTATTATTGTTTGAAACAGAGCATTTTATAGGGTTTTAAAAAGAGAATTTCAGGATGATCAAGTGTCAAATTTAGTAACAAGTCTTTATTGCTGGCTTGTTTTTGCAGTATTTCCACAGGGGGAACATTCTATCAGTTCAACGTTGTACTTGTTGATATTTAAGTTTTAAGGAAAATATTTAAAAGAAGTACTGAAATACTGAAATGTTTCTCCTAATGCCTCTAAGGACATAAGAGGCAAAGACTACCGCCTAAGGAGAAACAGATAAAATACACTTGTCAACAAGTGTTTGACTTTAGAAGTGTTTTCTTTTAGAAATGTATATGAGTCAAAACTGATGCTAGCATTTTTAGGACTTGCACAAAAGCAAATGGGAGAGTTTGAATGTATCTATGGGCTGGGGGCTACTTGCAAAAATTCAAATCTAGATAAGTATCCACATAGATGTTGTTGCCATGGCAACATAAAAGGATAGCAATAAAAATATAAAGGGTTAGTCTAAGAAATAAAACTCCAAAATCTATTCTTTTGTAAACTGAGCAAGACAAAAATTTAACCAAGACCCTTTATATTGATTAGTTTAGAAATATTGAATTGAAACAAAGCAGAAATCACAGGAATAGGATTTTATGCAATGGTATAGCTTTGTCATGATATGATATAGACTAACAAGACAAGCGTCATGTTATTAGCTAAACAACACTGAAGGAAGTATTACAGCTGAAAAAAATATTTTATTATTATTGTAGAGGCGATATACAGAGAGGTTACAGTTGCATAAGTCAGCTAATTAGTACATTTCTTTTGGGACCATGTCACCTCTTCCTTTACTCTCCCAGTTTTTCCCTCCCTCCCCCACACAAGTTATATAGTTCATAGTGTCTAGTGAGTACCATTGCTGTATTTTTTCACCTTTTGTCCAACCTTTTCTGTGCCATTCTTACCCTTCCCAAAGACAAAATAAACTAACGAACAAGACAAAAGAAAAGGATAACAGCAAATACAACAACAACTACAACAAAAACATTTTTCCTTTCTTGTAGTTCATTTTGTAAAATATTATATTATATGATCCTATGAACCTAGCTATTTAGGTTTTCTGGTCTGCTCCTATGAATATCCTCCTTTGATCTAACTGTGGACTGTCTAGAAACTTGTATAATTTAAATTGTCCCAGTGTACTTTTGGTCTTTTACCATATACGGTATTTACTTACTGATTTATAGGCATATTTCAACTACCAGAAATGAGGAAAACCATGTAACCTATGTTTCTTTGGCATTCAGAATCACAACATATCAAAGAAAGACTGAATAAATGGTATTGCATCAAACTGAAGAGCTTCTTCAAGGCAAATGGCATAGCTAGTAGTGGTATAGATGATTAACTGTTTCCCCTCATAGTCAGTTAGATAGGTTATGAGATTATAAATTCATTTTTGAGTTATCTCTCAACACCTGTAATAAGAGACTTACAAAGCAGCCATGTGTGAGGTAAACTACTTAGATCTTTGTATTTTCCTTTCTTTCCTCCCTCCTTCTCTGTCCCTCCCTCCCTCCCTCCTTCTCTCCTTCCCTCCCTCCTTCCCTTCCTTCCTTCCTTCCTGCCTTCCTTCTTGCCTTCCTGCCTTCCTGCCTTCCTTTCTTTTCTTCCTTTGTGTATGTATGTGGGTCCTGAGCTTGAACTCTATCTTGATGCTGTTCCAGAGCTTTTTGGCTCTTCTTCTGGCTTTTTGTGATAGTCAACCGGAAATTAGGGTTTCATGGACTTTCCTTCCCCAGTCTGGCCTCAAACCTACATCCTCAGATCTCATCCTCCTGAGTAGCTAGGCTTATAGGTGTGAGCCATTGGCATTTAGCTCAGTCCTTTTTTTTTTTCTTTTCATAAATAGTGTGCTCAAGTAACCTATTTGTAGCTACCATAGAGGAATATACTTAATAGTTTTTCTCTATACTGAATTATCTTTTCTTTTTGGATGTGGACATGAGAGCAGCTTTTTCATAGTCCTTTTCTGACCAGCTGATGATAAAAGTAATTTAATGATTAGAGAAGAGAAAGATATAAAATTTATGTTTATTTCTTTTAAAATGGAAGATGTAAAATATAAACAAATGTCATTGTACAACTATTTTCAGAGTTCTATTGCACAAGAAAATTAAACCTCCATACAAGTTAGTATTCTGATAGTTAAGTTTTTGCATTTTCCAGATGAATTCATCAGAAATCATTTAGGCTGAGACATGATTTAGGATTTTTTAATTTTTTTTAATTTAGAGGGAAAAACTCCTTTTTATGTTCATTGAGTCATACAGTCCCCATAAGATACAATTCAACAGGGTCATTTTCTTGTTTGAAAGTTCCAGAATTAACATGTATTCCTATAATAGACTGTTGACATGTGCTGGGTAGAATAACTCTGGTGGCAAGGTGGTGGGGGAGAACTCAGTGCTTTGTTGCTAACCAATTTGCAAATACCATGTCTTCAGAAGATCAGCTATTTCTGTTCTGTTATTAAAGTCCCCAGGAATTTCAAATTCTACCTCTCAAAATTCAAAAAGTCTACCCGCTGCCATGATTGCAAGATGACTCACCAACAAGGAGCCTCTAGGTGGCCCTCAAAGAGCAACTTGTCAGTGCTTCTAGATAGCACAGAATCCTTGTGATACTCTCATATGTTTCTGCTTGTAACTGCATTGTCACATAGAAACATTATTCTAGAGCTGTTAGAAGACTTCAGTGCTGATTCAAACATTTAAATAATTTGCTGGAATTGAAAGAGGTCTAGAAATTGTGATATGTGTAAAATCTAACAAAAAATAAAACAATAACTATTGCAAAACATTGCATTTTTTGAAATTATTTTGTTCAGTTCATAACAGATTACATTCCTCCTTTTTCATTATGATAAAATGAATTGCATCTAATGTATTTTCCTGTCTTCATTAACTGGAGCCTGGGTGACATTTGTGTCTTTTTGATTTGATTTTGCAGCTCTTGTAAAACACTTGGACAATTATATAGAGCTGGAGGAAAAGAAGTAGTAGAGTGTCTGCTTGGCAAAGGATGAGTTTCAGCCCTAGTATCAATCAATCAATCAACTAATAATATTTGGACAATAAAATAGCCAGATTAGCTTTTGATTTGTATACATGTTCATTTATTAAGATGTTATTATTCATAGCAGATGAGTGATGGCTTTACATAGTCATAATAATGTTTTCCCCTTAAGTAAGAAGCTGATTTTTTCAAAAGAAAGTTAAATGCTTACCTGATTTCCTCCCATGCCATGGCAGTTGAATATTCCCACTTTTTCATTTTCCTTGCGGCCCATGTTGTCTAAACATTGATTGGTTTCAACATTCCTTATCTAAAGGGAACACACATATCAACAAAGGAAAGGTAAAACGTAAGTCAGTAATTCAACATCTTTCTGATGTTATAGAGAGTTAACTAAATAATACAAGTTTGTGAATGAAATTTTACCAAGAATATGTTGCTTTAAATATTAATTTTCCTTATCTGTCTGGTCCTAGTCTTAAGTATGTTTCTAAACTTCTATAGTAAAATTGAACTGCAATAGCTTTGGAATTAGAATCTAAGTTATTCCTTGTTTACAATGTAGTATCAGAGAAGAAGAAAATGTTCATATGCTATAAAAGATGAATTCTTCTTGAATCCTTCTAAACATTAAGGGAGTTTTTAAAATCAACTGAGATAGTCATAGTCTATCCTTGAATATATCTACAGTGCTCCAGAAAACAAAACTAACTGGCTATAATACTCAAATTTCTTTTTTAGATTGCTTTATTACTGCATGTTGGATTTTGCATATTAACAAAGATGAATTACTTTGTTTACTTCTGTGACTAAGGCATATTCAGGCATCTTCTTTCTTCCTAATACTAAACTTAATTGGAAGTGCTTGACCTTACAAAAAGCTGTCATAAAGCTAAATGGAATTTCATACTACAAATTCCTCAAAGCAAGATGAAATTGCTAAACTGCAGACAAGAGGTTATTGGTTTACAATAACATACTGTGTTAGTTCCATAATTATCATAAAGTTAATACATATTTTGAGCCAAATATAGTTTTAAAAGCCATTTATTTGCCTGAAAAATACCAACGTTATTAACTCAAGAACAGGAGAAGAGGGAAGACAGGATGGAGGAGATGAGGGAAGGGGAAGGAGGAGGAGGACGATGAACAGGTATCTTCTAAATGGAATGTTTTGCATCATCTCAGTCCCAAACAAATATATATATATATATTTTTTTTTGCGGGGGGGAGGTCCGGTCGTGGGGCCTGAATTCTGGGGCTGGGCGCTGTCCCTCAGCTCTTCAGCTCAAGGCTAGCACTCTACCACTTGAGCCACAGCGCCACCTCCGGCTTTTTTCTTTTTGCTTATGTGGTGCTGAGGAATCAAACCCAGGGCCTCATGCATGAAAGGCAAGCACTCTACCACTAAGCCACCTTCCCAGCCCAAATAAATATTTTTATTTGTCTACTTTGCTTTTGAAATTTGTTTTTTCTGACCCTATATTAAGACAGGCATATTTTAAAGTTCATTCAGTAAAATTATTTGTCTATTTCTAGCTATCTATGCTTTTTGATAAGGAACAAGGTTACATGATCAGATGGATGAGGTTTATACAATTCATTTTTCCTGTGGTTCAGAACCTAATGGTCAAATACTGGTTTCTGGCACTGGACAAAATGGTATGATTTCTTTTCCACCAATGAGGAAATGAGTAAAATGGAGGTCAAAGTTCACACTTGGTGAAAACAAGAGACAGCTGCACAGCATGACCAAGACCTGTTCTAGAATTTAGAGCATAGTCATATTTCTGTCATCAAGAAATCTCAGCATCAATCAATTAGAAAAGACAGAACACATAGTAAGTATTTTCAGGAAAAGTATTTAGGTTTTCTTTTTTTATTAATAAGTTTTTTTAATTGTGAAAATATTGTACAGAGGGGTTACAATTACATGAGTAAGGGAATGAGTACATTTCTTATCAAGCATCGCTGCCTCCTCCTTTGTTTCCCCTTACCATCCCTGCCTTCCCTACCCTCCCATCATCCCCCCCCTCAAAAAAAAAGCAAAACACAGACGGGTGGTATAGTGCTCAAATATATACTAAATCTGATTTAGATTGGATGGGATGGTTTAGAATCAAAATTTTCAGGACAATCATCTGTACAGATTTTAGCTTGTAATAGTCAACAGATTTATGTAGTTTATAGATCTGTGTGTGCTATATCTAATTGGGTCAGTTTACATAACACTGGGCTAAATAATTTTTAAATCTACATATTAACTTCTCTTAACTTCATAAGAGGAACTTTTTTCTAAGTGGTATTTGCATGTATATATAGAGAGAGAAAGAGAGAGAGTTGTTTGTAGGATTTTGCATATTTGCTGAACAACAGAAATCTCAAACTGTATTGATGTCAGTAGTATTAATTTTTCTAAGTGGTACATATATATATACTGAGTTGTTTGTAAGACTTTGCATATTTGCTGAACAACAGAAATCTCAAACTGTATTGATGCCAGTAGTATTAATCTGATAGAAACATTTTAAAGGAACATTAGATAGGTGCACGACATTATTTCTATGATAAATTAAGAATTTAAGAAGGCTGCTCAGGACTGAGGATTTGGCTGAGCTATTGCATGTTTGTCCAGCATGTATGAAGTTCTGAGTTCATTTTCTCAGCATCATATATATAGAAAAGCTGGAAGTGGTGCTGTGGCTCAAAGGGGCAAAGTGCTAGCCTTGAGCAAAAGAATCAGAGACAGTGCCCGGGACCTGAGTTTAAGACTCAGGACTGTGGAAAAAAAAGAAGACTGCTCAAATATGTTGTCTTATATAACAAACTATTATTGATTAACTTTGTATAATGCACAAATTTTTAGTATTATTTCAATCTGTAATATGGTTTCATTAACTCAATCAAGCAGCATTATTGAGAAAATGAATAGTTTATGGTCAGCCGTATTTGGTCTTAAACAAATAGAATTTGTCATCTCATGATGGAATTAACACTTAAGAAGGACATAGTGCAACAAATAAATCTGTAATAATGTTAGACAATCAAGTATTCTTAAAAATGCAGGGAAAGTATACAAAACAAGGAATTGGTGCCATATTGAAAAGGGAACCCAAATAAGACCACCTTATTATAAGTTCAACACTTGGAAAGATATGCAAATAAGAGATCAGCAATATTTCCATATATGGAAAAGCATTCCAGGCAGAAGACTAGCTGAGCAAGCCATGTAGTTGGAGATAACTAAAATGATAGGCTAATGAAGGGGCTGGAAAGGAAAAAGCAAGGGGGCAGTCTGGAGAGATATTCAAGACTAAGAAATGTAAAGAATCAGAAGTTTTGGAATGTTAGCATGCTATAATAATAGCTTATTCCAGCTAGAATGCAGAGAACAGATTAGACATTAATGAGAGTCTACTCTATTATGGCCAGCAAGACAGCATTATTGTTTGGAACAAAAGAATACTGATGGGAAAGGAGAGATCAAATGTAAAATTTGTAAAGCTATAAGATTTTCAGTTGATTTAGATAAGATCTATCAAGGAGAAAAGAATTTAAGAAATGTGCAAAGTTTGGACATGGAAAATAAGCAAATGATTAACATTACCTATGGGTTCTGTTGTGTTGACAGGCATCTCTAGCCTTTAAGGTTAAAAATCAGTTTGGAAGATCAGAAGTACTTGCTGACAATACTTTTCTTCGAGTATTTATAAAGTGCTGCTAATTTATTTCCAGCATAAAGGATCACTTTTGACAACTCTGGTGATAATCTGGGGTTTGTTCCCTTTTTATTTTCAAAAGTAAGGTAACTTTAATTCTTTAGAGTCTAATAGTTGTTTTGTTTGTTTGTTTGTTAGTTTGTTTTGAAAATGCTAAAAGCAGAGGAGTTGCAGTTACATAAGTCAGGCAAAGAGTGCATTTCCTTTTAGACAGTGGCTTTCACCATAATATATCTTGATATTTTATTATATATTACTCATTTAGCTAAGTAATATTTCATATTATAATGTACTTTCAATGTTATTTTCACAAAGTTTCCCTGAACTAGAGTTATAAATAATAAAATTGCTTCATTGTATTTTCCTATTTAGGAAATAAAATTTTTAATTTGTTGATTATTCTCTATATGTTACTTTTGAGCAAATAATTCAATTTAAATATCTTCTTTATTTAAAAATAAATTATTTTTCTCTGGTAAACTCTTTATGATGTAGGTGTACTGTTTTTCCATAAAATTTTCATTATTGCTGGGTGCTAATAGCTTATGCCTGTAATCCTAGCTACTCAGGAGACTAAGATGGGAGGATCATGGTTTAAAGCCAGCCTAGGTCTGAAAGTCTGTGAGATTCTGATCTCCAACTAACCACCAGAAAACTGGAAGTGTAGCTGTGACTCAAAGTGGTAGTGTGCTAGCCTTGAACAAAAAAGCTCAGGGACAGTGACCAGCAACCATGTTCAAGCCCCATGACAAGGAAGAAAGAAAGAAAGAAAGAAAGAAAGAAAAAAGAAAGAAAGAAAGAAAGAAAGAAAAAAGAAAGAAAGAAAGAAAAAAGAAAGAAAGAAAGAAAGGAAGGAAGGAAGGAAGAAAAAAAGAAAGGAAGGAAGGAAGAAAGAAAGGAAGGAACGAAGGAAGGAACGAAGGAAGGAAGGAACAAAGGAACGAAGGAAGGGAGAGAAAGAAAGAAAAAAAGGAAAAGAAACAGAGTAAAAGAAAAAGGAAAGAAAGAAAGAAAAAGAGAGAAAGTTTTTCATTATTAATTTGAGTTTTTTATTCTTTATTTAAAAATTTTACATTCTAGGATCTCATTTCAGAGTTTGACTGAATTTGACTTACATTTTTTTTTTCTATATTATGTAATCTAGGGCATTTGTTTCAGTTTCTTTTGAATAATTAGATTACCATTTTCCTCTATTCTGTCAAAGGAAATTTTTAGTTTGTTAATATTATTTACAGAGATGTTTTACTCCTTATTGTCCGTAGCCTCACAACATTAATTATTTTGTATTATTATTTTCATTTATTTCTTTCACATAGCACCAATTTTCCTGATCTTATAAGTGGGAAAGTTTAATTAAGGGACAATTTCATGAAAAAATATATTTTTAAGATCTCTTGGCTCTGTTGATTTCAGCTTTAGATCCGAATCCCTAATTTTCTTTGCCTATTTGTCTCTGTCCAGTCAATTTGAGGTTTATTTTCTGAGAAGAACTATTAATTAGTGAGTTTTGAGAATTCATAGTTTGAAGGGTATTCAGAAGTCTTAGATGTTAATTTTTTCACTTTGTGAGAATTTCCTTGACATGCATATT